TAAGAAATGCTGCAGTGCTCAAGGATGATAAACATTATGTTTAAGAAATGGAATTTTGATATTGTACGTACTTTATTGTATATGTTAGTTATAGGCTGCTTGGCCCGCGCCATTTCATACACGGCCTGTTCTGAGAAGCCTAAGCTGGAAGAGGATCGGATTTCCAGAGCATAATTAGATAGTTTTACACAAATCAGTGAATGCAGTTTACTTTTCAGGAATTGAACAATTGTCCGATGTTATGCTCGGGTCATTAGTTGCGAACTTCATTAGCCACGAGTTCCACAATTAATAAAGTGAATTGGTCTTCCAGAAGGGGCAATATTGCACTCCGGATTTCATTTCATCGATCTCAATGCGATTGGCAAATAAAACTAATTTGACATTTTTAGTCGACACGCTTGTATCGTTAACATAGTTGGAAAATCGGAGGACCAAGTATGCCTAAGTGGACAAGGGGAAGAGAAATGATCACACAGAGTGACTATCTGGGAACGCACACTGAGATAGGCCAACCAACGAGGTATCGGGTCTCTGATCTCAAAGGATTCGATGTTTTCAATAGTCCCTTGTGAGGTACCCGATTGAATGCCTTTTGCATATCCAGGAATACAATTATAACTCCATAACTGGAGTCCATAAATTCTGATGCAATCCAGGTGACGCAACCGACAAGTTGTGCATAAGTGATTGCAGAGGAACCTGTGCTGTGGTACGTCAAGCAGTTTGGGAAAATATATAAAGCCCATCAGTACAACTTTAGTTAAATTTTCGAAAGTCTATCAATTATAGAAGCGTGAGGTATACGTTAGTAATCAGCGACTTTCTATTTGGGACCAGCTTTAAGACTAGGGATAATAAATGACGTTTTCACTTATTCGAAAAATGTCCAGATTCTAGTGAAATGGTGAGCATGTTCAGCAAGCATAGAGATCATTAAGGCCCCCAAAATTTAATAGCGGATGAGGCATGTCATTGGAATTCAGTTTGAACGATGGCTGTATACTGTGGGTTCGAAAGAGAAATCGCGATATTGCATAGAACGCTTGTTGCTGCAAGTTACGAACAGAAAGATATCGGGTCAGTTTCTAGGCTCATAGAAGCAGTGAAAAAAGAACTAAACGCTTCACAGATAGCGAGTAAGTCGTTACTGTTGTGACCCTCCTCATAGATCAGTCCCATGATCGAAGAATATTCGTCGTTAATTCTACGGTGAAGTAATTTTACCGCATCTTTTCCTTTGCATGACATCCGTAAGGAATTCTCCTCCTCTTTTATTCGCAACACTTGTGAACGCTTAACACAAGCGATGGATTAGTGCAGTTGTAATCATAAGGAGAAGACTTAAGTTTTTCTGAAGTTTGTAAGTGGTCTCGTTTTCACACCTACATTCCAAGGGTCAGAAACGATACGTTTATCTTGTGAGACAAGTGTGGATACTAGTGAAGATCAAATTACTTCTTGCGAATGCTTCCAGTCAATCTAATGGATAACACATCGGATAATTGAGTTATGTACGATTTCTGCTTGCATGCTGATGTCATCATATTCTGTGGTCACGACCAGGGAGATTGTCTAAGATGTCGGTTTGTGCATCACCAACGTAAATAGTCAGTACACTGACCGATCTAGTTGGTTTGGTGACCCACTGAGTCCAAGCAACAACTCTGCAAGTCGATAGCAAAACCGCATGCAATGATGAGGATGGTTGTGACTATAAGAACAATGCCTTTAAATAACTTCAGGTAACACCTAAAAGCGAGCTAGTGCCGCCAGTTCCTTCAAAAGGATGACCGGGAAAAATCACGGAGCAACATCGTTGGAAGCAGGCGGAAGAGTACTACAGCCCGTCGACGCAGGCCGAGAGTCTGTTAGAGTCGAGTAGAAACATGTGTCAACCAGCCGAAAACAAATACAACGGAGTAAGCCTGACGGGAAAGTGAATTTCTAGAAACCTTAATAAACGTGGTCCAAAGAGTGCAACGCACTAACAGATCACAATGCCAATATTAGTTGATTATTTTTACAAGCAGCAGGAAACGCGACCAGGTCTCCCTGGAAAACGTGCAGCAATCATTCACAAAAGCTCTATTTAACTATGGTTTAAACTAAACTACGAGCGTTGTAAGACGCCACAACTGAAGCCAATGTGGCTAAGACTCAGGAAACGGACTAACATTCCTATTTGACTTAGTCCACAAACGTGCATTCGCACCAAATATAAATATTCACTTCAAACAAGAAGGTAGCTACGCAATTAGGAATACCAAGAACCCACTTCGGATGTTCAAAACGAAAATTGGTGTTCAAAGAAAATTCCACCTAAACAGATACACTGAAATCTAGGACCGTTCTCCTATTGAAGTAAGAGCATGCGAATCGCAAGCAGGGATTAAAAGAGCAGTTTCAAACTGCCTGATAGTGCAATGCGTAAAAACAATGTTCCGACTAAATCGTCATGAAAAGATGATATTTGCGGAGGGAGTCAAGACTTGGTTGTACTAACTACAAATATGCATGAAATCTGCTACGTACAGTGTATTTACTAGAGCAAGCCCTCCTGAAAAGGTGAATTGAAAAAAAGACAAAGTTTACAGAAACCCGTTTACTCTTCTTTACCCGACCACCTTTCTTACTTTACTCGGAAAAGCATACCTCACAGACACACCAATAAGTGGGGGTTACAGAGAAAATGCAAACGGAGGTTAAGCTAACCATTCTTGCCACTACTCTTCATAATCTGCTTATTCAGACACGCAGACCTCACAGCCATACCAACAAGTGTGAGCAGGGAAGATAACGCTGACTGAATCTAGCCAATTTCACTCACTTTTACCATCCGTTCTTTTATTACTCGGCTACGTTTCTGTTGTTTACACATGTCAGACAGCAAGGAGACGCTAACTGATTCTGCTTACTATATCTTCACTTGTATTTCCAATAGTCCTTTTTCATGTTTCCTCTTACTCGCATACACCTGGTGTATAGTCAGACCAAAATGCCAGAGCCAGCTGACCAACGTTAACTACGTCCGCCTCACACACAACAAAAAAATCTGCCTTGACCTATGTTATAATTGAGTCGCTACTGAGATAATTGAGGGAACGCCGCCTCTCGATATGGATTGCGTAATTGCCTGATAAGATTGTCGCTGGCCCGGTTGGAGCACGCCTACGATAATTGCTTGTAACGCTGGCCAATCGAACGGAGTTGCGCTGACCTGATGACGCTGGCTTAGCCGGTGAGGCGGATAATTGAGCGAGCTTGCTAACGATCCTAGCCGCACGTGTTCGGATAGACGCCGAGCCTCGGACGGACGCAGACGAGAGGGGGGTTACGATAGACGCGCGCTAATGACTTAGACGCGAAGGCTGGCCAGCTAACGATGCACACGCAATTACGTGACCTGACCGACACCCAACTGAGGCGAAGAGAAAGAAAAGGCAAGTGGTCCTCTGTAGGCTCTTTTACGACCGACAAAGGGCGATCACAGACGATGCTATGGGTTATTAAGTTAAGCAAAACTGTCACCACGAAGAGGTGGTAGTTTGTAAATGACCATTGTCAGAAGGTGCGCAGTTTGGGCCGCGTCTCGGAGTGGCTGAGCTCTGCTGCGTTGTGGGGAGGAATTGGACCCCGCTTCCCACAGCCATTCTGTCGGGGTTTCTGGCGTGTTTTTGCGGGGATTATTGACGGGCCCGCAACAACCTATATGTACAGTTGCTAAACTAAAAGTAAATAAATACCTCCGTCCTTCAATACTCCTTTTTGGAACGTCACAATGTACAGACAAATATTATCTTATCAAAACAATGTGCCAGTATTTTGAGCTTCTTAAAACGTTTAGTTCACTTGGCACTGCCAGAAAGTCAAGTCACAGCTGTCAACAGCTTTCAACAGATCGTCGACGAAAGCGACTGAAAACGCATATATAAGGCGCATCTGGAAAGTCCGGAGTCACAAGCAAAAAACCTTTACTGGACTTCAAAGTTATCCCCAATAGCCACAACGTACATGTGACATCGGGTATAAAGCTGCCGCAAACTGTCAGCAAACGCTTCTTGTGGAATCGTTTGAAACACAGTGGTCACGCATTGTTGGCTATCCCCAAGGTATGTGAAGCGTGAGGCTTTCAGGGCTAATTAAAGGCAGGAAAATAAAAAGAAGTCTGCCAGCGCCAAACATAGAGAATAATGCGTGTCGAAGAACAGAAGTCGCGTTGAGCAAGAAAGTCGATCATTGCGGATTCCGGTCAAGTATGCAGATGAAATCTCAAGATGTTTCCATCCCAGTTTGCTTCTGCTTGTCTCAGTGTGTGCGACACAAACGGGCACAAATCTTCTGCTTTTTAAAAGGTTTATAAGCTTATCTTCAACATTTCTGTTATCAGCCGATCGTTCACAAGCATACAGTGCACGCGTTTGTCTGGGACTACGCATGTTGGCAGTCGACCCGAATGTAACCTTTCACTTCGCCTCTAAAGGGTTTGAACCACTCAAATACATCTTTTACTTATTGTTTTAACATCGTACACTTGCAGTAACATTTCATGAATCTCCGACGCTGTTTTGCCTACTTGGAAGCAAGCTTCATGATAACCATCTCTCCATTTTGCAATGACACCAGTAACCAAACTGACTCCGTTAGCTTGGTCGCCGTGTGCACCACCGCTTCCCTTCGGTAATTTGGAAGATGGGGCAGCTTGTTGACATATCTTCCAGCGCGTATGCACGGACCGGCTCTCCTAACATATGGGACCATGCACCGAACATTTCAGACGCACCTTGGGTGTCCCGTAGCTTAGGAACACAAGTCATCTGCAAAGCATATGACAAGGAGTTGCTCAACCTATCATGACTCAGGAGGTAAATGAAGCGCACTAAGTTTGCTGATATCTGAGGCTTTGTTCCAATATGAAAAAAGAGCTGTCATCAGTGCGAAAGGCTACTGTCACTGAAAATGGCGAAAAACATATGCAACGCAAGACTCATTGGGCTTACACGTAATCCGCGAGTTCGCTTCACTTCTTCCGTTATTTGTTCACGGTACCTATGCAGGTGGCGTAAGAGCACCTCAATTCCAGCAGTCCGAAGATGTGTGACTAAGACACACGTGCTAACAGAGGCCAATCGTTCAAGTGCTCGTTGTTTATCGTTCTCATCATCAGGTGGAATCTTTTGGATCAAGGGATTTAAGCGAGTCTCACCCAAAGTGAGACATTCGTGGGCCAAGAACGTACAATTGTTGTGATACAGAGCTAGGAGTGAAGAAAGCGAAGGTATAAAATATGGATCGGTAGATGCAGCGAAGATCAACACAACTGTGTACGTTAGCGAATTGGGTGCAAAAACCTGAGGCGAATAAGTGAGACAGTGTGAAACAGCTTCGCTTAAGGCGACGTGTTGGGAGCAGTAGATGTAAATGGCTCCTACATGTTCACATTCGAAATATGCGTAAGTGAAGTGATGCGCCAGAAAGTGACATATACAAAATACCGCCATTCACAGCAAGTAAAAACTTGAGTAAACTAACGCCCAAATTCTCAAAGACAGAAGAGCGTGCAGCGAAATTAAAGGTAGCAGTACTTCGAACACAGGACAATGTGGTCAAGATCCGCAAGTCAAGTGTCACAAAAATGAACAAACCGGAAAATACATTGTTGGGTTTGAGGTGCACGTTGTGTGTATGGATTAAGACGCTCAATCATAGTCGGGATCATGGTCATTCCGGTCACAGGGACAGCATCCGAAGTGGAAAGGAGTTAATTTCGATAAAATGGGGTTAATCGCAAGCAACAGAGTACAGAAGCGCAGTAGGACGAGCTACTTCAACGAGCATAGGTATGAGAACGAAAAAAATAGAAGTTGCACAAAAATGTCATCGGAAAACGGATGTAAATGTTGATAACATTTGGGAGACTTGTAGTCAAAATAAGAGATTGAATGCAATAGTGTCGCTGACTTTAACAGAAAACGATTTAAGGTAGGGTATCAAAGTATTTGTGAGGTGTCCGAGGTGCCAAGGAGGAGTAGCACCTCTGGTAGGGGATTTGCTTTACCCTCCAAGGTAGTCCGCCTAGCGTTGGTCTTCACCTATCCCTCAGCTCTCAGCTGTGCCTCCAAGAAGCTGCTTGCACGCGGCAACGGCCACACCCAGGTCAACTGTCAGGAACACGGGCTAAACCAGGTGATGGTAGCCGGGAACACTATTTTCGGTGAATTCGTAGGTGCGTGCAAAATCAGTCCTGACAACTGGGCAGAAGAGATCGACGCATGATCCAACAGCCAGAAGTCAAGACAATTTCCCCGATCCCTGCTGCGTTGTAGATAGCACTTGACTGTGCAAAGGCTGGAGATGAAACCTCGAATAAAAGCCGGATGAGGTCGGGGTCCTCATGCCTACCCATAATCCCCACGAAACTTCATGACATGCCCACTACCCGCGATGTTTCTTATGCTACGGCGTTCCCGGTAGGCGACGCGTTTTGCGCTAACCCAGTGGCCAAAGTGACAAGTAATCTAACTAAATTTCTCAATCCTCGGAAGCTACTATTCATTGGATGCTGGAATGTCAGAATCCTGTTGGATGTCGGCAGCCAAGCGTTGACGATGCGCACACTACATGATCATCAGATCGACATAACATGCCTGTCAGAATCTCGAATACCCGACTAAGGCTCACGACAAATTAAAATCCCTGGTGTAGACACCTCATATTTGCTTCACCACAGTGGGCCGGAAGATGATGATGGCAATCATGGGGTCGCCATGACTCTCAGTTGTCAGGCACCCAATGCTCACCTTTCATGAAAGTCAGTGCTAACTAGAATGGCAGTCGCTCATTTCAAAGGAAACCCGATGAATATGACCATAATTGTCTACGCACCAAGCCCACCCTCAGCGGTAAGGGACAAAGAGCAATTTTACGATACTTTACAGACAGTGGTGAAGCATGTTCGAAAACGCAACATCCTCATTATCGCTGGGGACTGGAATGCACGAACCGGACCGAGGAACGATCAGACCCGTCACGTACTCGGGAAATACGCCCTTGAAGAGCGCTGTGATAACGGAGACCACTTGCTCAGCTTCGCCGACCTTAATCGGATATACATAACCAATACTCGCTTCCAGCATCCCAAGAAGCATCATTTGACGTGGTGCTCCAACGATGGCCGCACAATCAGCCGGTAGGTCTCGTCTAGCGATGACTGTCGAGCGCACAGAGAGGCTAAACGGGTAATAAAGATGGTTCGTACCACGTGCTCCTGCGCGTCAAATTCAGACGACGCTTGACAACGCGCCGGAAGACCGTTCCACCAAAGCATATCTACACTGCCCTGCTGGATAATACTGATTGCTGTCGATCTCTTGAGGTAGTAATAGAGACAGAGCCACTGCACAACGCCCCGCACTTGAGGAAGACGAATCTGTCGACACTTGTTAGTCTAAGCTAAAATCGTCAGTTCAATGCGCCGCTTTATCTACCCTGGTCTCTAACCTCTAGGCCCGTGAAGGACTGCATCACCGGAGCTACTATCCACTTATCCGTTGAAGCGAAAGAAGCACGTCTAACGAATACCCAGACTACCGCCGGTTGAGAAGTGAGGCAACCCCCTCAGCACGAAATGATCGCAACCGCTACTGGTCCGTTATCGCAGGCAACTTGGAAGCTGCATCATATTCTGACAATCCGAGTCCCCCTTTTTCGTCTCATCCGCTTAACTTCCGGAAAACGCTATTCATCACATCCGATATTACACAATTCGGATAGCCAAAGCATTCCTGATACGAAAGGAAAACTTTCCAGATGGGTAGAGTACTTTAGCAACCTCCTAAACCGCGCAGTACACACTACCGCATCCATTTTAAGATTAACCCGGTAAGGAAATGATGCAGAAAGCTCACCGCCATCTCCCACAGATGTTGCAGACATCGTTCGTCGCCTGAAGCCAAAGAAAGCTCTTAGAGCGGACGGGATGTCAGCCGAAATTTACAAGTCTTGTCTACCAGCCCTCCTTGACCATTTGCACGAGCACTTCTACTCGATGTGGGAGACCGAAGTCTGTCCTTTCTCGTGAAGTACCTCAGTACTACAGCCGTTTCCCAGGCAGTAATTAGCGCGGAATTAGCTTAATTGATGTGGCTGCCAAAACCTTCGCAGGAAACTTGCTTTCCCCTTTACAAATGAGAGGAACCAGTGAACACGCCTTAACCAAAGTGGCTTTCGTCCGGGCAGAGGTTGCACTGACCAAATCTTCACACAACGTCGGTTATTCGAATACCGCAACCAGTTCGAACAGCCCACGTTTATTTGCTTCGTTTATTTTCGAGCTATCTTTGACTCATCTGACTAGGGAGCACTCGGAAGAATCCTGCTTATCGAAGGCGTACCGGTTAAACTCATTCATTTGATGAGATCAAACTACCGTAGCATAAGTTTCCCATGATGCTTCCATTCGCAAATTTAAGGAGAAAGGGATAACCAGGTAGTATTTGGTCATTTCACGACTCTGCTTGTCATGTGGATACTTCATGGTAAGAGGACACTTTCCGGTGAGCTGTTTAAACTGATCAAATCATGGAGTAAAAAAAAATTTCAAGCCAAGAAAGATAAGGTTAACTAGTATGTAATTGTGGCCATTTTGCAGTCGATTAGAAGAGGAGCTAAGCCCATGGGTGGAAAGCTGTTTAGCACTTTTGTTGATGCATCAACTGGGTGACGACAATTTCATGGGCTGACTCTATACTAAGGAATTGAGAGTCCTATTCCACGAACGGGCAAACTTCGAAAGGTCGAAACGAACGTGCCTTGACTAGCTGAGTGCAACAGATGAGTCTATTTGGGACTTCACCTTTAATTCAATCTAGTGCTACAAAGGCACGTACTTGTCCCAAACAAGGAATACGTGGTTTGGCTCTAGTAATGACTAACGAAAGCGAACGTGCGCCAATGGATTTAAACTAATAACATAGAGTGGGGTTCAAAAATGAACTAATGTAAATTCAGGATACATTCAATGGTTTGGATTTATGTTCGGCATGGTTGCAGTTCCGTTCGTGAATACTGGATTATTGGTCGGTACTCTGATCTTTTCCAACCAAACAAAACGACACAAGAACCTATAGAGTGACAAAAAGGTAATCGTGGCACGCTCCATCACGTCGAAGCCAGTATAACTTCCAAGGTTGCTTCTTGATCAAATTGTCGAGCTCAGTGCACTAATGCAGCGAAATAAGTATGCAAATACAAGAACCACTTGTTACAAGAAAGATAATTGCCTACTGATGTGAATGATGGGGTTATCCAAACTGATGACTATTAGCCGATTAGGTAAGAGCTCCCTGGAAAGCCACCGATGCCTGGTGGGGACGTTTTGCCGTGCGTCAATCAACATTCATCATTCATCGTTATACACGTAAGCTGCAGGTGGGAAACACCTCAGCGACCGTGCCGACATGCATCAAAAAAGAACTAAGACATGCAACAGAGGCACGCCGGCTGAGTCACCAGTAACGGATGGACATCGTTCCGGCGAGCTAACAGCCGGCTATTGTACCACAAAAAACTTATATTATGCCTAATAATTGAGAGCGTGCTTGGGGAGGGAGGCTAAACGGGAGGGAAAGGGGGAAAGAAACTCACAACACAAACGCCACTGAGGTCTGATCCTAGCCATGTCAACAAGCGTATCCAGCCAAACGGGTTCATCGTCGCTTGGTCTCCAAACAGGGAGCCGAGAGGTCCCAACCGAGGCCAACTTCGAAGTAAGGGCCTTCGTTCCTCTTGACCAAGTCATGGCTTGGCCATCTCTCCTGTTCTTCCATCGACACCCCCGGCGCGTAAACAATGCACGTTGAGGGAGTCGGTGGGCTCGCATGCGAAACACGTGGCCCATCCATCGAAGTCTGGTGCGTGAAATAACGGTGTTGAGCGCTTCGCTTTCTCTTCCTGTGGTTACTCAACGTTAGTGTGATTTAGCAGCCATACTATTCACATACTCAATTACCTCTATAAGTTGTCCTTTATTCGAATGAAAGCCGAGTATTTTATGTGGATTTCAATCGATCATCACCGGGAAAGTTAACACTGCGCTCGGCACATACGTCAGAGTTGAACACTTTCGAGTACCAAGTTTCTTCTATGCTTCTGCTTCAACTGGATTGTTTTTCTGCATTGTTGCTGCTGACTTTACTGGGGACACATAGCTTGAAGTAGTTTAGTGAATTGTTGGACCAGACAAGACACACAGCTGGA